GCGCCCTTAGCCCCGGGAGAAAGCCCAGCCCACAGCGGCTTGCTGGGAGCCCGTGGGCACGGGCCGGTGGGGTCAGTGCTAACAGCTCACCTGAAAGTTCTTAGTTTTCCCAGAGATTCCTTCCTTCCCTAAAAGGTATCATTGTCCAAGTGGCAAGTGTCAGCTCATTGGCTATTTCTATTCTAAGCCTTTTGAAGGCAACCAAAGACAACTCCTGTTTGAAATACATATTTGATCTGCTGCCTTGGACATGAGCCTGGGGGTTTCGTTTCTCTTTATGAATGGAATTCATGTTGCCCCAGCCAGACCACGAGCCCGCTGGAAGCTCTATGGCTTTTAGTCCCTCCTGGCCATTAATTCTTTTCCCACAGCATTGGAAGGACTCTCGAGAGACCCTTTCTGTGTTTAGTTGGTATCACCTGGCTTAACATTTAGTCTAGAAAAGACTATGCGCACAGACATCCTTAGCATCTTACTAAGGAGCTTAACAGCGACCACAACTTTTCTTTCTTCCTAAATCAAGTCACTCACGCTGAAAATGCAATCTACTGCTTCTCACTCACCCCCAGGGCAGGTGCTTACCTTTCCTTTGGGGTTCTTCTTGTTAGCGGGGTACAGAAATATCCCGCCATAGACCAGAGTGCGGTGCACATCAGCCACCATGGAGCCCACGTACCGAGCGCCATAGGGGGCTGAGCTGTCCTGCAAGGTCAAGGCCAGCATTGGTCAGTGCTGCAGAAAGTAAAGAACGCGAGCTCCCTTTGTGTCCCTGTGTGCGTTTGATCCCACAGTCATTCGCTGAGCACCTTCCAGGGGTGTGTTTGGCTGCGCTAAGAAGTGTGCTGAGTGAGAATCCTGTTCCCAAGAAGAAGAAAACGGAACGATGGAGACAGCCTCTTCTGCATCTCATGATAGGCTGAATCCCCCGAGGAAGCCCCAGAGAGCTGTGGTTGGTTCTGGCTATGGGGCTCGGGCAGCATCACAAAGATTGTGCCATTTGGTAGCACCTTAAGGGTTGAGAAGGATTTCTGCCGCACCAAGGAGCTGCGCGGGGGGGGGGCTGTCTATTTTACAGGTGAGGACACGGCACACGCACAGGCAACGAGGACAGGGACGCGCTGTCGTGACGGGGCCGCTGTCCCAGGAGCCTGTAGGACTAGAGAGAGTGTGTGCAGGGCTGGGGCGGGAGGAGACTCTCTGGAAAGTGAAAGGAGAGAGGATTAAGCTGGAGAGAGAGCCTGGGGCCCACTCATGAGGGACCATCGATTCATGCAAACACATTGAGCTTCATCTCAATAAAAACCCAGGTATCAATGGCCATTCAACGCAAAGGTATGAAAAGTAGATACTCTGACCACCATACAGCACTCGAGCGACCCGAGGCGCGCCCATCCTTCCTTCTCTGCGAGAGTCGACGGTCATTCGCAAATCCGTTAGAGAGATAACAGGGTAGGGGAGCTCCGGTCCGGACGACTGATAAATCCATGTTGGACAGGAGGCAGGAGGACACGAACACCACCCCGGACAACCGGGCTGGGTCGGCAGAACCACCTTCTTTGTGCCTTTCGGACCAGGGCCCCCCAGAGGTGAAACCCTGTTTTAATGCCGGCCTCCAATGCATGCGTGGTTTGGACTTTATCATCCCTGGATTTTCTTCTGGCGCGTGACGGGCGAGAGGGAGTGAGGCACGGCTCTCTGATTGACCAACCTCAGGGCAAGAATTCAGTGTGGCCCAGAACCTACATGAGAACTTAATCATTGGGGCTCAGTGCAGATCAAAAAATCCAACCTCACCTTCGCATCTTCTCTGCACCTCCTAAGGTGAACTCTTCAGCAGATTTCCACGTAACTCAAAGACGGTCGCCACACACCAGGCCCCCATCCATCCCCAGGGTCCCGCTTTCCCCTCAAGGGGACCCCGCCTCCCCACCCAGGCTGCCCCCTGGTCGCCGTGCCTGGCAACCGCCCCAGCCGCCGACACGCCTCACCCTCACCCGGGGGGAACTTCTCCCTCTGGAAGCGTACTCAGCATGGCGGCCGGTCAAAGTCCTGGCCGTAGCCTCCTTAGTTAAGGCTGTAGATGTTGCCCGCTTCTTTTTGATCTTCACCATTCCTTGTCCAGCCAGAATCGAACTCTCCGATGGCCTTGAGAGACACAGAGGGCAGGTAAGGCGACGACGAGCAAATGCCTGGCGAGGCACGAATCGGCAGCCATCAGCGATTCCCGAACTGCGTCCTGCGCTCGGACGGAACTTTGCTCCGGTTCCGCCGCTATTTCCCCTGGAGTCACCGCGTGTGGGGACTTTAACTGGTGCCGTTACCGGTCCCTTGTGTATTTGTTAAGCGCCCACGCTCCGGAGGAGGTGAAAGCCGGCTCTGGGAGAGTGCGTGGGACAAAGGTCGCCGTGCTGACGCGCCTGCGCACACGCGCCCAGCGCAGCCCCACAGAGCGTCCGCTGCGTGCCGCTCTCGCCGCCAGCCGCGACCTCATTCTGGTGGACAAGGATGTGAAGATCAAAAAGAAGGGCAACATCTACAGCCTTAACGAAGGCTACGCCAAGGACTTTGACCCCGCCATCGCTGAGTACGTCCAGAGGAAGAAGTTCCCCCCGGTGAGTGAGGGGCCGGCGGGCGGCGGTTCCAGGCACCGCACCAGGGGCAGCTCTGGGGAGGCGGGGTCCCCTGAGGGAAGGGACCCTGGGATGGAGGGGCCTGGACCTCGTGTGGGACTCTTGAGTTACGTGGAAATCCATTGACTGAAGATTCACCTTAGAGGTGAAAGAAAGCAGGGATGGAAGTGGGTTGGATTTTGATCTGCACTGAGCCCATGATTAAGTTCTCATGTAGGTTCTGGACACTGAAATTCTTGCCCTGAGGTGTCAAATCAGAGCGTGTATCTTGGCCATCGACACTTTCTCTTGGGCAGAAGAAAATCAGGATGATAAAGTCAACCAGATGCATGAGTGCCTGGCAGTAAAACAGTTTCCCTCTGGGGGCCCTGGTCCCAGAAGGCACAAAAGGTGGTTCTGCCA